AACCCGCTCTTAAATGCTGCCCAGCTATGCTCTGAATCAGGCATCTACCCAGGCTTTCTATCCTGCTCTGAGACCTGGCAACCTTCCTCCTTCATGCTTGTGTTCAAGATCCAAGCAAAGTTCTATAGAGTTAAACAGCACGTGGACCAGCCACCCTAACCCAGACTTCTAGGCCTAGCCAGCACTCAGGGCTCCCTGCAATTCCACCCTACCTTTCTGATCTCATCCTTCAGGCACCTAAACCTGTCTGGTTCATTCCTGTTTTTGTGCCTTTGCTCTCAAGCCACACTTCCTCCTCAAAGACCCAACACTCTCCCCTCCCCACCTAACATGCACTCATTCCAATCATAAGCTTCCTCCCTCTCAGTCTAACCAAGGTTCTCCCTCCCCAGAGAAGTCTTTCCTGATCACCAGGCTTCCAGGGACCTTTCACTCCTCTGAATTCCTGTATTCAGATCACTCACCTGGCAATCTGTGATAGGTGCTTGTTTACCTTTTAATCTTATCTTTTCACAGGACGGCCATTTCTTCATGAGCATGAACCAGGAAGCATACTTTAAAAAGCTGAATATTACAATACTAGTCAACACTAAGAGTTTTTAGAACAGAAGATTCTCCCAACAAGAACAAGTAATTTCATTTTTTCATGTTTCTTTCTAGCTCTTGCCCATTCCTGTTTACATTTTTACACTGTAATAAAATTAACAGCAGATTCAACCATACAGTTACACATTCTGTTTTACATTCTGGTTTTTCTGCTAACATGGAAAATAGTCTTCCTTGTTAAATGATGTCCACTGTCATCATTCTTAATAACTACATAACAATTTTTCCACTGAGATTCTAGACTATGATTTCCTTAAGCACTGACTTCTATCAGACAGTACACTCTTCTTTGTGTCTTTGAGTCTTTCACTGCATTAAGTACTATAAAGTGCAAAGTAAACCCTTGAGAAACACCTGTTAAAATAAATTTATTATCCATGTTTCCTAACAACTGAAATAATCCATTTCACTACTCTTCTCTCCAGCTAAACATCTAATGTAATTTTTGGTTTCACTACCTTAGGCCAGGTAGATGGCAAAGGTATTTTCCAAACACTTTTGGTGTAAATTTATTTATTTTGGTAATTGATCTTACGCATATTTAAACATGGGAAACCTCTTGCAGAAAGGCAATAAGATCCCATATTATCTAATATAAGCTAAACATCTGGCAGGCATTCAATAAATTTTAAATATTTTTAAACCATCTGAAGTTATAAAACATTGAATTCCTGAATAGGAGAGTGTCACTGATCTAGCTAGTACCATCTATTATGCTTGTAAACCTTTCAGTTCATTTAATAATTATATTGGTTAATAATGTATGAATGGGTGTTCCTTACAGTATATGGAAGAACACAACCAGAGTTACAGGTGAGTTGTCCAAGTCTGAAAACAAACATGAAAAACCAAACAGTATCTGCAAACAGAACTTCAAGATAGCATGACAAAAACCAGCTTAAGGCTTTTCTTCAGCTCATTTGAGTTCATATTTCAGATCAAGAAAAGCAAAGAGTTGTAATGTTAAAACCAGCTAAAACTACATATGCATGTGAACACAAACTGGAATGGAAATTAAAAAATGACAGTGTGAATTGGTAAAATGAAGGATGTCATAGACTTTTTTCCCTTTTACATTCTGTCTTATTAGTGTAATGTTAAAATATATAACAAGAAAAATATTACTGACAAAAGCATGTTCATTTACCATTATAATTCTTGCTATTATTGAACTAGGGCATAATGCTTAATGTTGGAATAACTATTTCCCAAACATTTGTATAATTTAGCAAAAAAGGACTGAAACACTCTTACTTCCATGATAAATGTTAAATAATAAACCAACTAACTACCTTAGCACCTCAGCAGATACTGAACCACATAAATAACTTAATGGTACATTAGAAGCTTCCTGCAAATTTCAGTTTTCCTCAAAAAGTAGCCAATGATTCCAAACATCAGAATCTATAGAGTAAAACTTCATCATCCTAGTAATTCATTCTCATCTCATCCTTATTTGTGAAGAGTGATATCTGAGGTTGCTTCCTGAACTAATATGCGATGAAAAAAACAGGATTAAAAGTTCACTATTTGTCATAATTATACTACTACTTAATACACTAATCTTCACAGAAATAATGATTAGACAAAGTAATATGATTCTTTTCAAAATTATTGGAAAGGAATATAGTTCCCTTGTAGTCTTTTTAAACAAATTCTAGATAGCAGTTTAAAAATCACTGGCTTTAGGGGCACCTGGCTGCCTCAGTCGGTGAAGCATGCAACTCTTGATGTCCGGGTTGTGAGTTCAAGGCCTACATTTTTTTAAAAAATGAAATAATAAAAAATCACTGGCTTCACAATAACAATACACTGTTCCATAACTTCTAGATTTACATAAATGACTACTTCATGACAAAACAGAAATAGGAACAATCTAGTTATTTGTGGTAATCACACAAAATAGAAGTCCATATGCATTCAGGAAATAACAAGGCTAGGTAAGAGATGGCACAAAATGAAGGGGGAAGCAGTTACCAAAATAATGCACTTCTATTTACAGAGTAATGGATCTATATATGAACCTTAATCTTAAATCATTTTTTTGCGGGGGAGGTTTGTTTGTTTTTAGAGATAACATAAGCAGGGGTAGAGGGAGTGGGAAAGAATCTCAAGCAGTCTCCACACCCAGCAATGAGCCCCATATGGGACTTGATCCCATGACCATGAATCATGACCTAAGCTGAAATCAAGACTCAGACACTCAACTGAGACACCCAGGCACCCCAAACCTTAATTTTAAAATGAGTTCAATGAAAGGAATAGCTAACATCCTTTGCATAGTGAAATTTTTTATTCTATGTCTCCCTAGGCACTCTGATACTAACAATTATTATAATCTAATTAATGTCAATTTATATAGTACTTGCCCTCAAAAACTGAAATTCATGGGGCGCCTGGGTGGCTCAGTCGGTTAAGCACCTGACTTAAGGCTGATTAAGGCTCAGGACAAGATCTCACAGTTCTCTAAGATCAAGCCCCATGTCAGGCTCTGCCCTGGCAGCATGGAGCCTGCTTGGGATTCTCCCCTGCCCCTTCTCCCCTGCTCTCCCTCCTTCTCTCTCACTTAAATAAATAAACTTAAAAAAAAAAAAAAAAAAAAGAACTGCTTCAAATTCTGTGTCTCCCTCTCTCTCCCTGCTCCTCCCCCACTCATGCTCTCTCTCAAAAATAAATTTAAAAAATGTTAAAAATGTTAAAAACATTGAAATTCATGGAGGGGAGGGGAAGTGGGGCGTATTCTAATGATCTGAGATAGGTCTTTTGTGGTGGTTAGCTGCATCTTTTTATCACTGACATTTCCAAGGTTTTGTGGAAAGGAAATTTTAAGAATGTGCTGAAACCATCCTTTCAGAATCAAGCCCCAGATAAAGTTGTGTTTTATATGGCTTGCTTTTTCATTTTTTTAAAAAATCATTTCAATGGTAATAAACTTGAATAAAGCATGAGTCCCTAAGAACAAAAGCTTCTGAAAACTTTCAGAGTTCATCTATGACTCTTTGATTTTGTCAGAGGAAAAACTGAAGACCCAAAATGTGCACTAGTTTAAGCTCTTGAGGGAAGGGGAAAAAACAAACTCTCCTAGGTCACATGACAGCTCTACACTGACCTGGCAATGCTGGGAGAAATTACCAACTCCAAAGAGCTGACTCCTAGGGAAGAGATAAACCAACTTAGAAAAGAAGGAGGACAAATCAAGAAAACACACTGTCAACTGGCCAATCTGTATATCTCAATATATACAAAAGACAGCAAGAAAAGGAAAACTGGAAAACTCATAATTTCTACACAGACTTAACACTGGAGTATGAATACAGAAGCTGCAGTCTTTTGTCAACTGAAAAGTCATCTCTTGGGATTAAAACAGTGATCTCAATAACACAGCCTTGTATAGAAAGTGTTTTCAAATATATTGTCTCATTTAAAGCTACTCGCCCAGTCACGCTGCTACTTAAAAGCATTAAAGCCAAGACCCAGCCCACCTCCTGGTGGTTCTCTTCACTCCATCTGTCTAAAGAGGATTTAAAATGTCCTCGGTTTATCTGCTTTCTCTACCCTCCCTGCAGAATTGAGAGAATGTCTGAAAGATACAATTTCACAAGAATCTTGGCACTTAAACTATTTATTGTTGAGAGATGACGAATATGACTTCAAGCAAAAACAAAACTATCTCAACAATCAAAAAAAAAGCCGGGGGGGAGGGGGGGTGGAAGGGCATCTCTTCTACCCAACTTCAATCAAAGTCTTTACAATTTTTATGACCGCCCAGTTAAACGTACAGAGTAAATAGTCAAGACGAGGAATTTCTGCACTTAGAGTGCTTTCTCAGGAGTAAACCAAATTCCCTGCCATTTTTTCCTGCCGCGGACCACAAAAGTGCAGGGTTGGGGAGACTGGGCCGGAGACGTGGGGCCTCTGGGTCCCTGGCCTTTCTGGCCAGGCTCGAGAGGTGAGGACCCGAGGGGCGGGGGCCGCTCTGACAGCTGGCAAGGAGAAAGCTGGGGACGCGGCGGGGCACGGGCGAGGGATAGGGGCCGGGGAAGGAGGAAGCCAACCCGGAGCGAGGGACCAGAGCGCCCTCCCGCAAGGGCAGGAGAGGCGTGAGGGCGAAAGGGCGCCGGGGCGGGGCGGGAGCGCCGGCGGAAGGGGCAGCGGACCGGGACTTGGGGCCCGCGGCGTCCCGGACGCGGTGCGGGTGAGGGGAGGGGCGTCCCCGCGCAGAACGGCCGGGCGCGAAGAACTAGAATTCGGGGTGCGCCGGCCGCCCTCTCGCTTAATCGCGGACTGCAGGGGCGGGGCCGGCCGGACCCCACACGGCAGCCGCGGCTGAGGGAAGGGCGCGCCAGGCACCTGCCGCCTCCACCGTGGCGGTCCCGGTTGGGCTCGGCTCTCACCTCTCCGGTTCATGGGCCGGATCCGCACGGCCACTTTCACTTTGGAGTCCCCCATCCTGCTGCTGCCGAGACTCTCCCTCGGCTTCCGTCTGCCTCGGCCACCGGGCAACTCTTCGGGGCTGGCGGGGCGGGAGGGGGCTGCAGGAGGGAGGGGCGGGGCGGGGGCGGAGCTTTGGCGGGGCGGGGCAGGTCGCGGAGCTCTCGGCGCGCCTTCGTTGCATGACGGGACTTGTAGTCCCTGAAGGTGGTCGTGGGCAGTAGGTAGAACCGCGCGCGGCGGAGGAGCTTAGTTTGGGGTAGGAGAAGTTAGACTCGTTTCGCTCTCTGGAACATGTAAATGCTCCTCTGCGTCAACATCGTTCTACTCTCACCGCCAGTGCTGAAACATAAGCCGTGGGTAAGCTGATACCACACCTGAAAATAGTTGAATAGATGACATAGGAGGCCCTGAGAGCGACCTCTTCAGACTTTTTAACCGCTAACGTTAAAGTTTGATTCGTGCTTCAACTTCCTCTGCCTGGATTGCACTCCCGGCCTTGTTTGCTGAAATCATCCCTCAAGCCAAGGCAAAAGTTAACCTCTTCTGGAAGTCTTCGTAGATCCAAAGATTAACCGTATACGACCCCACCCTCTGAGCCTCTTCCAGTCTATTCCAGTCTTGACCTTAGGCTCTGGAGCCAATCTGAATTCAAATCCTGAATCAGCACTTTCCAGGGGTGTGACCATGGACAAGTGATTTGACGTTTAGCTCTTGTCTTTTCATAATTAAAATGGAGATACTTACTCCTACTTCATAGGATTGTTGTAAGCCTTAAATTAGTTAATACGAGTAAATTCTTAACTCCCTGGCACATAGGAAGTGCTCAATAAATGTAAGTCATTATTATCTTCACTGTGTTACATAACTTATGCTGCCATTATTTGTTCTCCTGCCATATATTCTTTAAACCATATCTTATATGTAGAGTAGCAGGTAGTGAAGACCCAGTAAACATTTATTGCATGAATGACTAAATGGAGCCGCACTAAAATTAGCTCCTTATTAAAACCAAGCAGAGACTACTAACTGGTGGCCCACCACCAGATCTGACTTGCAAATATGTTCCATTTGGACCAACAGTAGTGGAGTGAAAATTAGGAGACTTTTCCATGCAATTCTGGGCCTACCTTACATCTTGGGAATAATGGATTGGAACTGGGTGGCAGTGGCCACCTTCATGAGAGACGAGGTTCTCCCTTTCACCCCTTTCATTGCCTCCTTCCACTCTGCTTTAGCACTCATGTGCCTGGATCCCATAGGTTTGTGATGCCTATTTGGATATGTTTTAATGATAGTATAAAAAGCAGAAGTATTTCACGAATGAGTAAATACAGAAAGCCAACAAGACTTGCCCTTTTACCAGCCATCCATCGTTGAAAGAGTTTCAACACAAGTAGAGTTGTCAAAAAGGTTAAATGCGCCTTTAAGAGGAAAGTAATTCTCGTACCACATATAGATGAACATTGAAGACATTATGCTCATTGAAATAAGCCAGACACCACACACAAAAACACTGTATGGTTTCATGTGTATGAGATACCTAGAATAATGAAATTCATAGAGACAGAAAGTGGAATGGTGGTTGCCAGGGGCTAGAGGAAAGCAGGAATGGTATTTACTGTGTTTTGTTTTGTGTTTTGTTTTGTTTTAATGTTTATTTTTGAGAAGGAGAGACAGCACGAGCAGGAGAGGGGCAGAGAGAGAGCTAGACACAGAATCTGAAGCAGGCCCCAGGCATAGCACAGAGTTGTCAGCACAGAGCCCGATGTGGGGCTCGAACAAATGAGTTACGAGTCATGACCTGAGCCTAGGTCAGTGTCTTAACCAATTGAGGTTAAGACTTAACCAACTGAGGCTTAACTAACACCCACATGCCCCAATGAGTTAGTGTTTAATGTGTACAGAGTTTCTGTTTGGGAAGATAAAAAAAGTTTTGGAGAAAGATAGTGTTGATTGTTGTACAACAATAGGGATGTATTTAATGCCACTGTACACTTAAAAGTGGTTTAAATGGTAAATTTATGTTATATTTTACCAGGATTTTTTTAAGGTTTTGTCATGTCCCCTTTACCAGAGTTGGGTACTCTGGTCCTAAACATACTTCCTAACAACCATCTTACCACCTTCGGATTATAACAAATAAGGATTTGCAGTGTGTCAAGGTTCCTGGGCAGCCATTCTTCCCTTTATATCTCTTTCGTAACATGGCAAATGTTGGTTTTAAAAGGCATGTTGTGATGATAGCTTGAATCTAGCTTTATAAACCGAGGTCAGACAGGCAGAAAAAGAGAAGGCTGCACAGTTTCTGTGGGAACATTGTGTTTGAATTTAAGCTCAAATTTCAGAAGAAAACCCCTAAGGAGGTAAAGTGGGGTGGGGCAGAGATTAATAGGGAAGAGGTGAGGACTTTCTCTAAAGTTCCAAAATCACTTAAATTGAAGGGGAAACATTTGATTGGAAGAAAATGATAGTAGCTTCCCAAGGGACTGTAGAGAAAACCCCTGTGGGCCATTCTCCCATCTGACTTCTATTCACACCAACTTCTCTCTTTTAACTTCTGCAGTATTGACGAGGAAAGAGGATTTTTAGAGAAGAGAGCCCGAGACCAGAAATGCCTTTATCTTCCTGTGGAAAGTCTTCCAGAGGTAGGCCAGAGAGAAAGTACTGAGATGCAAGTTACAACCTGCAGCCCAGCAGCTTAGGGGCTTTCACACCAGGAGAAACTGGAGAGCTGCCCAGTCACCATGCAGGGGGTGTGGGCTCAAGCTCCAACAGGAGCGACAGAAAGTCAGAAAGTCACAGTCTCTCTCTTCTCAACTATTCAGAGGAAGGAGGAGAGAAAAAAGAGCTTCATAAATAAAGCACTTCCTTGGACCTTTGTTTTGTAAAGCAAGGACTTAGGCCAAGCAATATTCAGTGGGTAGATACTATATTCACGACATTGTGATAGATCTGTTTACGTTGATGTTGAGCTGTGTTGATAAGTTTCTCATTTTTTGCCCTGACATTTTGCAAATCTACTCATTCTAAACCTGATTTCTAGTTTACTTTTTGTTGCTTTCACCTATTCATTCAACAGTTTCTGGTGATCCCTGTGTAGACTGAGGAACACATTTTGCCTTGTCTTTATAAGATTATCACTTACAAAGTAATACTAGCTAACACACTCTGAATGCTCACTATGTGCCAGACACTGTCCTAAGCATTTTACACAAATGAATTCACTTACCACTCACTAACTCTATGAAGTACTTCCCTACATTACAGATGGGGAAACCGAGGAGCTGAGCAAATCACTGAAGGAGCTGGGATGCTCCTACTGTTCAGACCTCCCACCTACAGTCTTCCTGGATGGGAAGCATCTATATGCAGATTGCTCAGCCCATTGAAATTTGAAAAGATCTAATTTTCACCATTTTACTTTCTAAAACAGTTTTGAAAACTCCATTCTTGTAAAAAACTAGGAACTGTGTACTAAATTCTATTTTTGCCTTTAAAAAGGAGGGAGTGAACTAATGGCTCCATCAGGCAAAAGATTTCTTTCCAGCATAAATCAGGATTTACCTGCATGTCTTAGCTGTCCCAGAGCTTAGTTTTCCCAATTAGAATTGTCTCTTCCTGTCTCCTCAGCTATACCGTGAGCACAAGGACAGTGTCTTTTTCAAGTCTCTTTGTCTCCAACACTTAGTACAATGCCTGGAACTGAGTAGGCAGGCACTTAATACATTTAGGGGAGTGGAGATATTAGCAACACAGCATCACAATTGACCTCAGACAGATTCGATGATTTGCCTCAAATCACATAGTAAGCGGCTGGGTTGGAATACAAACACAGATTGGTTTGATTCCAGAAATCCAGGCTGTTTTCACAAAGAAGCCATCCTCATGTGTCCTTTCATGTATTTTTCATATTAGTGCTACCTTTTCTACCATGTGAATCCTCAGTGGGAGCCTTGGTCTCCATAATACTACTCATCATGTTATAGATGTTGTTTATGGAATGCTTATGTGCCAGGCCTTGTGCTCAGCACTCCCATATATGATCTCATTTAATTTTCACAACTATCCCATGAAGTGGGTGCTATGATTATAGCCTTTGACAGATGGGCAACTGAGACTTAATAAGGCAAGTTAACTTGCACAGTGGCCTGAGTAAGAAGTTCCTGAATGCAAATCCTGGGTGTCCCTTGCTTAGACTGCTAAACCATTGCCACTACCCCCATCCTGGCCCTTCATGTAGTACCTGATGCTCTGCTGGGTCTCTCAGTGTTTACTGACACTCCTCAACCACCCACTAACAGGACCACACCTGGATCTAAGACTGCTCCACCTATGAAATTCAGTAACTCTCATCCATAACCTCAACTTAATCCAACCTCCCTCACTCTCCTACTCCCAAGGACCAAGTACACTGTTCTTAAGCCTCTAGTTCCTCAACCTACCCCTTTTCTCATACTCAAACTCCTTTTTTTAAAAAAAAGTTTATTTATTTATTTTGTGAGAGAAAGAGTATAGGGGAGGGACAGAGAGAGAGGGAGAGAGAGAATCCCAAGCAGGCTCCATGCTGTCTGTGTAGAGCCCATTACGGGGCTCAGTTTCACAAACCTTGAGATCATAATCTGACCCAAAACCAAAAGTTGGATACTTAACCAACTGAGCTACCCAGGCATCCCCTCTACTCAAACTCCTTCAGAGATTCCTTCCTTCCTTCCTTCCTTCCTTCCTTTCTTTCTTTCTTTCTTTCTTTCTTTCTTTCTTTCTTTCTTTCTTTCCCCCTTTTTTCTTTCTTTCTTTTGAGAGAGAGAGAGCAAGTGGGGCAGGGGCAGAGACAGAGGGAGACAGAGGATCTGAAGCAGATTCTGTGCTGACAGCAGAGAACCCAGTTTGGGGCTTGAACTCACAAACCATGAGATTTATCATCTTCATCACTCTCTTCACGCACCCAGCCCAGCATGGCCACTCTCAAATCATGCTACTCCTTCATTGCTGTAAAAACCCAAGGCTCTCAGGTGAAAATTCCCTAAATTTCCTATGCCCACAATTTTATCTATGACTGTATTAGTATGAACTTTTTCCCTCCAGTTGTAGAGATAGATGTGTGCCTTCAGCTCAAGGCTAAGGCCTCTGTTCCATGATCTTTCATCCCACCTCCATGGCAGAGTTGTTTTGTTAGTCATTTCCCGTCTAACCAACTCAACCTTTCCTTCTCTGTCAGCCCCCTTTTAGCTGGTATCTCCCATAGAAAAATCAAAACAAAAAATAAAACTTAAGAAAAAAAAAAGACAACTATCTGTCAACCCCTGGTCCATTTGTAGTTACCAATCTTTCTGCCTTGTAGCCAAGTTCCCCCAAATAATAATCCATACTCAGAGTTTTTCCTTCCTCACCTGTCATTAGTCAACCAACTATTAATTTAATCATGCTTTCACCCACCCTCACCCCTCTAATAAAACTGTCATGGTGAATCAACCATGTCATTGCAATCAACCTTCCTATTGCAAATCCAGTAGGGTATCTTTCAGCATTTTACTTGATACTTGATTTCTCTATGATATTTGGTGTTATTAACCATCCCTCTTCGTGAAGCTTTTGAGTCTGTCCCTTGCTTTCTATGACATCACTCTGTTCTCCTTGTTTTAATTAATTTATTACCCCAGTCAACAAACTCCCCTATCATGTGCTTGGCACTACTGTGTTAGGTTCCTTGGATACAAGAATAAGAAAGACATGGTAGCTGTTCTTAAAAACTAAAAGGCTTACTTAGATTTCTGGAAAATTTGTAGCTTTTTCAAGTTCTTTTGCGCCTCTTTGCTTATTTCTCAGTGCCATGTAGGAGTCCCCTTTAAAGACAATGTCCTCAACAAGGGACAGGCTCAGTATGCAGCCTGGGAGATCACACAGAAGACAAAGCTAAGGATACTCCAGCCAGTTCCAGGGGTGGGGGCAGAAGAGCCAAGAGATGGAACACGCAGCTAAGAGGTAGAGAAAGTAGGCACAAAAGAAGACAAAGGAAAGAAACACTAGTCTGCATCAAAGAGTGCTGCAAGGGCATAACTTGTGAAAAGTTTATTTGGGTTCCTTAACTTAAGAAGCCATGTCTCTTGCACCTTTTTGTTATTTCCCTATTGCCACCCTCCTATTCTAGCCTGTCAGCAGCTCTTGCTTTGAAAACCTCTGCATGACCCCTCCCCTAAAGACACCTCTGGACAGAAGGTGTCCCTCCATCCTGTGTTTGGGAATGTCCTTGGGTCATAGAATTGGATTTCTTCTAAAAGGGTAAAACCACAACCTTGGGGTTTAGGAGGCTGAATGGAATTGGCTTGGATTTTGAGAGATTTAGATGATTAGAAGAGTCCTCTTGAGTGCCAGAGATTAAAGATCATCACCTCTGAGGGGCACCTGAGTGACTCGGTCATTTGAGCATCCAACTTGACTTCAGCTCAGGTCATGATCCCAGGGTCATGGGATCAAGCCCATATCAGGCTCCACATGAGCATGGAGACTATTTAGGATTCTCTCTCTACCTCTGCCTCTTCCCTTCTCTCTCTCTCTCTCTCTCTCTTTCATTAAAAAAAGAAAAAAAAAAAAAAAGATGTCCTCTGAAATGTACTTTCCCTGGGATCTCATTTGGAATGAGATAGTGTTTATGAGACCAGAGAGCAAGGTGTAACTTGTAAACTCAATTCTTTACGTATTAATGTTCTTTTTGTTCTCTTTTTGCATTTAGTAAATTTTCTTAAGCTTATCTGACCTACGCTGAGGGGAAGCAAAGGAAGGGGCTTTTTGACAGATCTTTAAAAGGGAAGTCTACCTCTGAGGCCAATGTGGTAAGGGCAGTGGGGACTGGGAAAAGACCACAAGAGTCAAATCACAAGTATAGATTTGGTCACTGGGTTCTGCTCCAGGGAGTCCTCTCTTCATGCTGGCCTCGCAGCCCTGGGTTTTACTTTTTTATGGAACGTGGCATTCCTCATCTGCCCTCACACTTACTGCTCTCTCCTCAGTTAGTACAGTCTCTGTTATCCCCCACGCTTGCTTTGGTTACTCTCACTCAAAACTGCAACCGTCCTTAGGATATCCTCCCTCTGCCAGTTGAAATCTAACCATTCAAGCCCCATTTTCTCCATAGTCATCCTTCACTAATCCTACACACATTACTATTTCCCTTCTGGAAACTCTTCTAGCACTGTACTATGTTAGCATCTACAAGCTGACTTCAATAATGTAGATAAGTCTTGTCTTCTCCAACTAGACTGAGAACTCAGTGGCAGGGATGATGTCCTCTCATCCTTGGTATTGCTCAAAGCAAGGAGCACACAGCCAACACCACATATACTGAGCGACTGAATTGTTTCCATTTTTAGAAGGCACAGAGGTGGAAGAACCAGGAGACAAGAGAAGGGTTTTAAGTTAATTATTCTGACTGATATTCTATAGTGACAAAAAATTCCAGGAATAAATAAGCCTGGATAGGGAGTGGGGTAGATGTTCTCTGGAATATCACTTGACCCTTTTTATTGAGGAAATTTAAATTCCTCCTAATCTCAGAAGATCCAGATGACCTACCAAAGCACAGATTTTACACTAAGCTCCCCCAAAATGTTTGCTATATGTACACACATAAATTTACTTCCTGCTTTGTTGAAAAGCATCTCTTGGGAGACCTAGGTGGCTCAGTCGGTTAAGCATTCAACTCTTGATTTTGGCTCAGGTCATGATCTCATGGTTTGTGGGCTCAAACCCCACATCAGGCTCTGTGCTGACAGTGTGGAGGCTGCCTCGGATTCTCTCTATTCCCCTCCCCTACTCGTGTGTGCGTTCCCTCAAAATAAACAACCTTAAAAACAAGAAAAGCATTTGTTAAGGACATTAAT